GCCGATGAAGGGGCGCCTGCCACCGACAGAAATGGCTCTGTCCGACGGTGTCCGGGCGGAACAACGCTTCCTGTGACCCTCCAAACGCTTCCCCGCGTGGTGCCAACCGACCCGTTACCTTCGCCCCCCCGCTCGGAAGCAGGGGAGCGCGCCCAGTGACGGGCACTGCGACGGCGCCCGCAGACGTACCTGTGAGCGGTACCCGACACGCGCTCCGGGCTGTGCCCAACTCACCGGGGCAAAGGCGGCCGTGGGAGGAGGGCAGGAGCCCCCGGCCTGCGGGGCAGTCGGTCACGGAGCCCCAGGTATCTCAATAAATTGGATACTTCCCTATTTTTCTGGTTTCCCCAGAAGTTTGAGTCATGCAGCTTAGACGCAGATGAGGTTACCAAGTTTGCCAAGTGAGTAAATATAGGCTGTCCTTTCAGGAAGATCTGGCTCACAGTGCGTGCTGAAGGCGAGAGAGAGTCGAACTGAAGCCTGCGCTGTGCCACGGGATTCCTGGTGGGCTCCGGGACCGTCAGCATTGCTGAAGAACCTGAGCTGGGCTTCCCTGGTGGGAAGCGCTTCTTCTCTGCAGCTGTTCCAGCTCAAAGCAGCTCGTGTCTCTGTCTTCCAGGCTACCCACACCTTTGCTTTTGCCCTTCCTCAGAGCTGCTCTGGCCCCGGAGGACTGAGTACCTGTGAGCCTTCCTCACCCTCAAGGCCACAGGGACCCACCACCCAGCGTGGCCCCCTTGCCAAAGTGCCTCGACGCACCCTGCATCCCCACACCCCGCCGCATCTCCCAAGCATCTTACAGCCCCCTGGTTTCTCCAAAAGCAGTCTTGCTTCTCCCTTCCTCCGGCATCCAACATGCTGACGCCAGGGCGCTGGCCAAGGCGGTGGAAGGTACGGGTTCGGTGCCGCTCTCCAGCTGGGGGGATACAAACTGGCACCTCCCAGAAGGCCGCCCTCACCTCCAGGCGCCCAGCGATTAGAGGGTGAAGCGCTCTCAACCACTCTTTCGGAACAGCCCAGTCTCAGGTTAGCTACACATCATGCAGTGGAAGAGAAGGAGTAAAAATATGGGCACGAGTGGGAACTTCGTTGGGACAGGCGCTTAGGAAGAGAGCACCGGGCTCCTTGCCGCCTGTGTAGGTTAAGCACCGTTGACACAAACAGGACGAGAAGCCGGTATTTCCATAAGCTCAGAGAACAGCTATGTTCTCTTGCAATAAAATCTACGAACCGTGCAGACAAAATACCTCAGGCAGCCCTTTGGAGCGACCTGCAGGGACAAAAGCCCCCTTCCACAGGGGGCCTTCGACCCCACACAAAGCTCTCGTGCTTTTCCAGGAGCAACGGCAGCTGCACAAGCCGGCTAGCGAACAGCACCAAGTCCTGAGCAGCTTACCAAGAATTCCTTAGTACCGAACAAGTACCTACTTCACTGAGTAACTCCCGGCAGCTGCCGAGTGAGGTTTCCAGGATCCCACGGGTATGGGACAAGTCACGGGACGGTCCCCTTGAGCCTGAGCACGGTCTGCTCTTGTTCAAAGTGGCAAAGGAAATGAAGTCATAATTTGCTTGTGGGAACGAGTTTCTGCTTAGTATTAAAGCTATCTCTGGTACATCTGTAGAAATGCCTACACAGTAATTCCAGGTAACGCAGCAGTAAAGGCAGAGCGTTTCTATGCGGGAGAGAAAACAAGCCCAGAAAGCAGACTACTCAGCCGAGTTTACGTTCTGCAATGGCAGTTTATCAGCGATTTTTGTCTGCACCGAGGCAGCCTACACACATGCGGGCTGGAGTGGCTGAACGCAGCTGAGCACCGTTCCGAAGAACGGCACGTCTCAGAGCACCGGTGCGCCCAGGCTCCCCAACAGACATCGGCATCCACGGGAAGCTTTCTGGAAGAGGAGCTTCCCTGCCCACTGGTCATCATCCCATTTATTCGAAAACTACACACAGCAAAAGCGTGCGTGGACACCGCTCCGATCCGCAAGTTTTTCCCGGGTAGGGCTGGCTCGCCCTCACGAGCGATCAGCACGCCGCTGACAGCACAACGACCACCACCATGCCAGCAAACAGCGAGACCTTCCATCTCGCCCCAGCCAGCCAGGAAATTCAAACACTGCTGAGAAATGTTCCCGACCATCCATCGCCACTGAGCTGTCTTACAAAATTCAAAGGCTATATAAAGGAAAACTGCCAGACATTTCTTGATGCAATACCAATTCGCCTCAAGTTAAAAATAAGAAGCTTGGATGTTGTGACATTTCGGTAGAAGCCTGATTAGGCACTCGTCTTGCACAACACTGCTGATTTCTATGAAAAGTTAACTGAAGGACAAAACACTACGGGAACGGGGAAGAAAACAACGCATTTTGTGTATTTCTGCCAGTGGGAAGAACAGATGCCAGGCACCGCTAGTTGCAGGTATCACTTGTAGAAATTTTTAATAACTATTTGGAAAATTGCTGAACCCTGAAGCACTGAGTTTAGCTGATCACAGAATGTGCATGTAGAGGGAAGTCCTCCAACACCTTCCATTGCCGCTTCCATTGCCGCCGGGCCAAAAGCAGCCATCAGAGATCTGTAAATTCACAGTTTGTATGTCGCACTCGGAATCCTCACTGATTGTTTCCTTTATCCTCCTTTACACCGTTTATTTGGCCAGCGTTTCCAGGCACGTTTTCCTTTTTCCACCCAGGTGCGGCTGAAACAAGGGCGATGGAGCAAGGCCCGACTGCCCCAGCTCAGAGCATCCGCTCTCTCCTCCTTCAAACCCCGCGCAGACCAACCCTCCTGCAATGCCTCAACACTAACACGCACTGTAGGGTAAATTCATTAATTCACTTATTAAGTCTTCATCCACAGTGCTCTCCCTCCTTATTTCTCACGGCATTTGTCCTACCTTGGCCATTTTTGATGGGACCTCTTCCAAGAGACGTGCCTACTCCTATTTTCGGTACTGGCCTATCATTATTTGGAGACACTATCAGGGAGTCTTCCCATTAACACAGAAAATGTTCGAATATTATCACGGGAGACATACAAAATCTTGCAGGGCCCATCTTAGCCTAGCAACACTCGGATTAAAGAGTATCTGTGGATCTTAGTGAAGGAGGCCACGGTGGGGATTTTCAACCCAGCACCGAGCACGCGTACTCAAAGCCGCTAGAATAGCAGCTCGCTGTGTGAAAAACCGTCCCAGTCACACGTTCCACAGCTTCGCAGCTCCAGTCCCTCTCACATCCTGTCCCCTCCGACATGAGACGCTTTGTAGCCCCGAGATTAATAACAGCTGTGAGTTCAAAGGCGGTAAGTGGAACTACTTCAGTTACTCGAGCCAAAATTTAACACAGATGCCTTCTGAAGTACACTCACTGTTCAGTCGCCGTCTATTCCAGGATTAGAACCCACAACGTTATCCGAAACTTTGATCTTTCTTAATTGATTTAATTTACTCTGTATAAAAACATGTTTGTATATACAAAAGCGATGGGAAACAAGTATTTACATAGGATTAAATATACAAAGTCTCAGTACAGGTGCTCACCTTTATGAAATAAATGATCCTAAAATCTGTCACGTTTTCTTCAAAATTTTCAGTCTCTTAGACATTAAGCCGGACCTCTTTTCTTACCACAGTACATTTCATTAATAAAGCTTTTAAAAAACCCCACCCATTTACAGTGGGAGAAATACACTACGTCTTAGACAGGAGTATTTACTGCAAGCACATGCAATCATAAACCAGAAAAAGCTATGAACGGTTAAGGCACAATGCTCAGCTCAGTACTACTCTGCAATTGTCTAGGTACTCATGCGTAAAGAAGGGGGGGGAAACAAAGCTAGCTCAACTTAATGCCATTTACTGGTAGCCTATACTGATCTTTAAAGTTTAGTCAAACATCACAACTGCATACATGACCCAAGCGAAGATCCTGTAATGTGTAGAAATATTGTCCAGGAAACCCCCAGACTGCATAATTGGATCACACAAACGAAATAGCAAATGGTAAGGTGTGGATGGTCGAACCCTTGCTCAGAAGGGCACACTGCAAGTAAATACATACAATTACTAAAAATCCAAGTTTAAACAAGCATGGCTATAAATAAGCCCAGCTGACCTAAATTCCGGAAGGGTGGAATAGCCGGCACCAATGCCACATTTGTATGTGGATTTTCTAAAAACTGTAACATCATAGCAAATCTGGTGTTTCCAACACGCTCCAGCGTGAATTTCTTTTAAATTTATTTATTTAAAAAAATAGCCACCAGACTCAGAAATAAATGCAAGTGCATTAGGACTAGACATTCTCCAGCCTCTTCAGAGACATGCTTAATGTTAATGAGCACTCAGTGGTTTACTAAAACACTGCCCATATACATGAAGCATGTGCCCAAGTCTGAGAAGCGTGAGGACTCGAGTTAATGCTGGAATAAATGAGGAAAAAATGAACGTTAATCGGCAAATACACTTGTTGGATGTCAGATGCTACTGGTATGCGTAGGCTTTCATATACCATCAATGTAACAGTAAAAACAGAAATACTGGAAAGGATCAAAGACTAAATGATTAAGAAAGCTGCCATGTACAGCACGGAGTTAGAGGGGAGACTAAGGTTTAAGAAAAACAACTGAGCACACTGAGCAGCAGTACAACTGAGTTTCCAATCTGAAAATACTAAATGATAAATTCATGCACTGAGAGTAATTTTCCTCCGTCGAAGCGGGTAACGTCTTCTTTCTGGTGAATCTGCAGGTTTTTTTCTTTTCAGCAAAACACAAGGATTTTTACCGGTATCGGCGTCTGTTGGCGTGACTTCTCCTGGTGATACAAAATGTTGGACACTATTTTCCTCCTTCACCTTGCAATCGGCAAAGACTTCTTGCCGCAGCTTGCAGAGTTCCAAGACTGGCTGCAAAGTCAACGCTTGGGAAAAACCTTCTGCTCTTTCTATCAGCGCTGGGAGAGACTGTGAAAACAAACCCAAGCGTCTCAAGTTACACGGGAAAAGCAACGGTTACAATGAATGAAACACACTAATTGGATTCTGACAGGCAAAAAAGCTCCAGCGGCTGCAGAGATAATCCTCTGGATGGCGGGTGAAGGTTGGGAACTCAGAGCTACCAGCCTAACAGGAACCAGGGTCTGCACTCAGAGACCATGCAAAGAGCATGCCAAGTTTAAGTGTTCCGCCATGACATCTCTAAGCTAAGTAAGTATCACAGCAACACCACGGTTCATGTCAAAGCTAGTGCTGAAGTAATAAGTCACGTGCTATATGAAGTTGTACGGGTCTCCAAAAGAAGTTTTATTTTCCAGATGCTGCAAGTTCTAAAATCTCTGTTAAAAAGACTTCCTGTCGCCACAGAGTAATCTGCCTTACTACCGTGTGAGGGGGAATGCTTTACAGCATTGTACTACAACTACACTAGCCCAAACCTAAAGACACACTTGCTTCAAAAGCACATACGCAGGCTTTTTGTGTACACAACTATCACGAAGATGAGTTAGAACTCTTGGTTTTGTGACACATTATCAGATCAAGGAAATAAAAAAATACCCTCTTGGAGCACACAGAGATCTCACCTTCATTGCTCCACTGATCTGTTTGGATGTCATTTCTGCCACCTGCTTCAGATCTGCGATGTAAGCATCTACAGAAAAACATAAAGCCCAAATAAACTTCTGAAACCTGACTCCCTCCCCTGAACACTTGCTATCGACTTCTTAGAAATCAAACAGAAAAGCAGCAGAGTCCCTGTATAAAACCTGCAACGCATCCCTTTCATTACAGCATTGAGGACGACAGCTTGTCTGTTTTATCTTACCATTAATTACTCTTTGTCACTGAAAATGTGGTAGTGTCTAGCAGTCTCAACTACAGCAAGCCACAAAGTTCTTCACTAGAAAAACCTACAGCTTATACAAAACATCAGACACAAAGACAGTATTTGACATAAAGGAAGAGAACAGTTACAAAGAAAAAAAAAGAGGTCTGTTTTCAAACCTTTCAAGCTCATATTACATTTGATAAAAATGCACAAAAGAAGGAGAATAAATACAACTGTGGAGAAAACAAGATGAAGGAAAAAAATAACCTTACAGCTCCAACAAGTCAGCTTTTACAATAAAGGCTACATTTTTCTCCTGGCTTAACTTACCAAGCATTAACATCAACAATAAAAAAGAACCAAGTGTAAACAACATAAACTGCATTAATTCTTCTGGGTTAATAAGACAAGAAAGAAAAGGAAGCTTTTAGGAACACTGAAGCAGACAGCAGGTGTAGAATAGTGGGGGGAAATGGTGTGTATTTGATTACAGTAGCAACATGATAAGATCAACACAACATACGTTTTTGACAACTGATTTACAAGCAACAATAATTCTTTACTCGAGAGTTAAACTCTTTTAAGTTATTATAAAACTGATTTGCATGTTCTCTGCCATCATTCTGTCTGCAATGCTATGCCATCAACAAAACCTTAAAATCAGCAGAGAAACAAGCATGCTCCTGGGAGCTAAGTAGCCTTGCCTTCAGTACTATTATTTTTCTGTAGGGTTTTACCAGCGCCTGCAGTAGGATACGACGTTAGATGGTGCACAGACCCCTACACCCTTTCAGGGCTAAACACAACATTCTGCTTTGAAGTTGATCTCATCAGTGCTACTGAAGATAATTTAAGTCAGTCACTGTAATCTAGCGCAGGGTGACACTGATCCCCTCCTGAAACGCAGTAAGCAGCAAGAGATGGTGTTTTGTTAACTCATCTCTCCGCACGCCCAACGTGCCAATCAGACATGGCTTAGGAACACACAATCCATGTACAGAGATGGACACTAAAATACACCATCACTCAGAGTTGGGAAGGAAAAACAGTCCCAATAGCAGGCTCTTTAAACACATCGCAGAGGCCTAGGAATGGACATTCTCTAAAAGAAGGACATGTCCATAATGAAGCATTCTTACAGTGAAGTATTGGGATTAGAAGATCGGTGACCCTATGAAATGGCAAGCAGCGGGTTAAGTAAAAATAATTACTTGGATTATTCCAGTTATACAGAAAGACTGACAGACTGTTAAGTGAAATTTGCCTGCAGGAGTTCAGCTTTACATGGACAGCACTATATTCCTCAGTGTTCAAGGCTTTCCAAAACATAGGGAAATGAAAAAAGGAAATGAAAGGTATTGAGTAATCTAAACATTTTAGTTTCTGGCCACTGTACTTGCTAAACTAGGATACATAAACTTCCCAAAGACTACATAATACTAAAATTCAGCACAAACTCTATGCTAGTTATCTTGGCTGGGACTTTGCTGTTACCTAACCTCAAAACGCAACACCTTGGTGCAAGCAGTTACTGACTTGCAAGAAGTAGTTGATTCGCATCAGAACAGCATCAATCGGGACACTAGAAACCGAAAGAAACCCAGATACGAAGTGACGCTCTTTACTGCTCCCATCAGCTGCTTTGCTGCACAGGCTGGCATTTCTGGAAGCAATGTCTCCTGTTCACAAAGAGGAAACGACACCTAGAGTGAAGGCAGATCAGCAGGGTGAGAAATGGAAGATTAACCTCAGCTTCTCAAACTCTGTTTAACACCACTGCTTGCTACACCAGCTCTACATTATGTGCAGTAATCCATAGGGAGGGTTCTGTATCCACGTTTTTCAACTTAGAACAGCATCGGTAAATTCTGTGATTTTTCAACACTTCAGAACAGACAAGACAGAACTCTCCACTTCTTAAGGCCAGCCTCAATAAATCACATCCCAGTCTTCAACTGCAAAAATACACCACCTTGTTCCAAGGAGTCTGTGTAAGGAATAACCTTTCAAAAGCATGTAGCAAACTTATGATGCTGTTTGCAGTTTTGTTTCTTCACCAACCCTTACAAATGACACAGGCAAGATAAAATTTGACGCCTACTTTGCAAGTTAGGAGAGCCAACACTGCCATCACCGAGTACTGCACAACTGCTTTCAATTCCCTGAAGAAACTGACTGATTGGGAAGAGAGACTGAAGCATTTCTAGTATTCATGTAAAAGGAACATACGAATGGTCAAAGCATAATGTCAGCGATCCATCTAGTTCCCCATCTGGCCTCCACCAGTGGTGAAGGAAAGAAGTAACAAAACCTACTGAGGGTAGCTCTGTGACAATCTCTACCCAATGCCCACACAGCGGCCAGCTTCTGCCTTTAAGTACAGCGCCTAACAGCAGACAGCACTTAGAACAAGAGAAATGGACACAATAAACTGATGCAGCAATACATTCAGTTACAACAAACTTCTAGCTATTTTAGTTAATTATTTAAACAGTCAATAATTTTAAACAAGTTCAAAGAAAGAAAACTTCTTCAACATTTACAGCTAGCCAGTAAGGCAGGCAGTGTTTCTTCAGTACAGTTGCCCTCCCCATGAAATCTTTACCTCGAGAAGGCTGCGATCTTATCTCTTCTGGTGTCACGACAGGCTGGTAGAGCTTCTGCATATCCAAAAAAAGAAGAATTCTGAAACACCCCCTTGGTTTAATAGATATCTAACATACACATAGCAGTCAGAAAGGCTTACACGAGGAGATGGTGGTGGAATTATTTAGATAAACAGTGTATTAGAGGTACAGTTTATAGATACTCGGTTACTGGAAATAGTGTCTGCTTAACAAAGTTAAGTTCACTGCACACACATCTCCAAAATCTGCTCTAGTTTGCAGAATGCTAATTATTAAAGCATGAGAACTAAACTGAAATCCAGGCATTTTGGAAGAAGCATTGCCACCTGCTGCACAACTGAGGAAAAAGAGCTGCTCTGGCTTCTAAGGAGCCATTCACAACAACAGTGCGCTTTCACAGAGGAGCAAACTCGAACAAAGGGCACATTAAGACAAAAAGCTAAGAAACAGAAACTATTTAAATGACTACATTCTAGCCCTGCAATTACTTATGCGTAAGTAAGAACACTGTCCTTCACAAACCAGGCTCTCTGGCTTTTTGGTCCCGCTCTGAGTCTTGTGACTTGACGTCAGTCAATTGTGACATGAAGTTAACTAGTAATAAATAATGAATACAGCTAAGATTTAGTTATATTAATGGTGGAATTGTAAGTAACTACAGGGGAACACAGAAAAAAAGCAAAGACATGGGAACGTAAGTTACATCATCTGCAAGTTAGCATCCTACTTCACTTCAGAAGCTATCCCTCAATGATCCTCAACCAAAAGCAAGTAGGAGAAAACTTAATTATTCCTCCCTGTAGTTTTACCAGAGCAAATCTTTACAGTTCACACACACATCTTCTTCGCAAGTTTACAGTAACACCTCCAAGCAGCAGAACAAACACTGCTTGCATTATCCTCAAACATAACGGAACGTATTGACTGAAAACCTACAGGACAATCGCTTGCTTTGGCAGTTACAGGGAGACCACCACACTAAATGAGCGGTTCTCTCCAGACAAACTGCAGTTAAATACTGCGTCTTCATAGCTGCTCTTTATGCCCCAAAAAACATGCATCACAGCAGTAGCTAGGGCGAAAAAAGAATGTAAAAATTCCTAAACCAAAAGCAGAGAAACCACTAGTACCTTCACAGTAGCAGCTGAGAGGGGGAAAAAAGGCCACTTCATTTACAGAGATAAGCTAAATATTTCCTATATTTTGCAGACACTTTTAATTAAAATAATCATCTGGTTGCAGTGGTGTAAAATTTGAAGAGATCAGCAACAGAAAAAAGGTAGCACAAGAGGCATTCTAATAACTAACCCGCTCTGGGACTCAGGCAGAACACAGTTTGCCTTCTGCAGAAAGATTAACAGGTCTTGTTAAATCTCCGTGTTATGCAATAGCGTATTTTATTTTAGTGTTTTTTTGTTTGTTTTACATACTTGATATATTGACAAAACAGAGAGATCACAAAAGGCAATATATGTTAGAAAATATCTAAATTTTAAGACAAATATGTACCCATGCACCTTTACTTCTGGCTAACCCTGAGAGTTATTTTTGTCAATTTTAGTCCTCAAAAATGCAACGCAGGCTCTAAAACAAATTGCTAAAAAAAAAAATCTCTGATTTCTTTAGTATAGAATCATAGAATAGCTGAAGTTGGAAAGGGCCTCTGAAGACACTCTAATCCAACTCCCTGCTGAAAGCAGGGCCAACTGGAGCAGGTTGCTCAGGGCCTCCTCCAGTCAGGTTTTCAGTCTCACCATCAATACCTCCGAGGATGGTGACTCTACAGTCTCACTGGGCAACCTGTGCCAGCGTTTGACTACCCTCACGGTTGGTTGGGTTTTTTAATGGTTAAATGGAACTTCCTATATTTCCACTTGTGCCCACTGCTTCTTGTCCTCTTTCTTCCAAAGGATATTGACTCCTAATTAATCAGCAGGTAAGCAAAAGGCAGGCCTAACCTAGTTGCAGGAAAGAAATTTAGCAACCAAGGACATGACTGGGTTGTTGAATGCCAGTAATTACTTTACACTCACTGTCAAAAAAAAAAAAGAGATAAATTCCTGCACCTATTCATTAATCCACATTACTTCATTTTTTTTCTTTCTTTACTCAAAGTACTTACTCAATGCAGTTATTAGCTCAACAAAAGTGCTTAGGAAAAACCAGACATCTTTTTAACAGTCATATATGGCACATGATAATATATATCTGTATGTATCATAACATTTAGTAATTCAACCAGCCCTCAGCCAAAGGTTTCAGAAACCCAGATCTGACAAGATGGACAGGTGTACACTGGCCTGCAAATCATGAGTCCTCATGTTGAACCAATCTGCTTAAGTAACTTGCTGAACAGTGCCACAGGCCAAATTCACTCATAGCCACAACACTTTGTAGTAACCCTCATTTTTATGGAAGAACCAATTAATTCAAAAAAACAATTTCATTACATGATAAAGAATCAACAGCAACTGCGGGGAAAAAGCTTAAAGGTCAACATCGGATGATTTATTTCTTCAAGTTACACATGGTCAGCAGCTACTACATGCAAAGGTTTTTGGAAAATCTTAGGTTACTCACCAACATCTCTTGCTCTGCTTTCATGGTTTGGATAGCATGCATCAGTATCTTTTTAGGCCACTGCTTACGCTTTGTTGCTGTCTCTACTATTAGTTCATCAAATTGATCTTCTAGAATTTTAATGCTGGAACCTAAAAATCATAAACACACAAAGTTATTGTAGGACTTCTGCATATTTTTTTTTAATTTGAGTTAAAGTTACAAAGAAAAGAAAAAAGCTTTAGATCTGAAATAATAAATCATGCATGATTATCATTGAAGAGATAAACATAGAGCTTGGAGCACAACTTGATGTTGGCCAGTTACTTTTGCAGTAAATGAGCTGGAGGGCGGGGGTAGGTGGAGAACCATCGGGGGGGGGGAATCAAAAGCCTACTTCTCTATGAACTCTGAATTTATGAAGAAAGTCTCCCAAAGAAATGGCTATCTTTCGAGATAACTTGGTTTTCAACTGAAAAGCAATGCAAGATGCAGCAAGAAAAATTGTTTATCTGTGTAATTGACAAGTACTAAACAAACACCAACTGTCCAAACAGTAATTTGAAGCCTAACTGATTTTAGAACACACAGAGCACAGATATGCACTTTAATTTTTAAATTCAACTGTGAATTTTTGCCAATATACAAAGCCATCTTAATGAAACACGGTTCCTGGAAATATTCTGCATCCTCAGGACATCTGCAACGACTAGTCATATGGAGTTTGCAAAAAAACAATACACGTCTGCTTTCAACATCTCATGCCCAAGAGACTGTGTCTGGTGGGAGCTAACTTTCATAGCTTGCTTTTCCAATTGCAAGATTAGACTGAATACCTAGAACATACTTTCAGCTCTTCGACTGAAGTGTTTTGACTACTGCTACCCTACCACAGGTACTTGGCTTCTTCAAGATTGCAATTAAGCTTAACAATTTTAAAAGCTTAAGATAGTATTTTAAAACTGGTTTCAAAATTTAGTAAATGCCTGCACTGTCTTGACATCACACAGCATCATTACAAATGATAAAAATTAAGAGTTACAGAAGAAAACAGAATTAACCGCTTCATCTTATATTCTAACTGTGCACAACTGAAAGGTAGTCCATATTTCTGTATTCTATCATCTGCACACTCCTATAATTTTTCTCCCCTGGTGGAGATCTGAAACATTGACAACATTCTTGCTTTTTATTTTTTTTAAATTTAATTTTGCAAAGTCCTTAGGATTTAAATTCACTGTCCCCACCAAATCCTGAGCACAACTTGCAAACCATGCAACGTTTTCAATCTAGTGGTAAAGAATGGATTTTGAGCACCCTCTCTTGGTCAATCTGTGCAGAATCAGGCGATTGTACACCTCAGAAAGGCAAAAATCAAGGTCTGTGGGTTTCTTTTGGTTGGTTTGTTTCTTTTAGGATCATCACGAAAACATTTAAGTATAGAGGGGAAGGACTTGAGCCACTCGTCAATGTGAACACCGAACGCACAAAATACCAAATCACCTGGTGATTCAAACTGGATCAGAGATAGGCAAATGAGTACATTTATGTCAAATTAAAAAGCACAGTATAGTCTTTATACCTGCTTTATGCCAGCTGTATGGAGATGACAGTATTTCAGCTGCCATAAAGTTAGACTTCTAGAGACAAAGGCTAACTTACTGAAAATAACATCAAACTGGACAAAGTTTTCCTGTCATGAAAATCCTCTCATGAATTTTTTAACAAACTGCAATTAGTGAAGTAAGCCTGAATCAGTTCAGCCTTTTGCATTGCAAGACCAGTGCATTTGTGACTTTGTAGTCTAAGGACTTGGAGTTTTATCATTCTAGAACTACAACCACAGAAGCTTCCTGACCAAAAAACAACTCAGGAGCTCCTTCTCCATAGCCAGTTCAATATACCTGTATTTTCGGCTTCATGCAACTGTAAAAAGCATCCAGTTACAGGCAAAGAATATCTAAGGCTAACACAGGCAAGCAAATGAATTTTCTTTGGACACCACACTACCAAGAATCTCCACTACTATTACTCAAAAGACAATTATTATTAAAATACTGTATATATTACACATATATGACTATCTAGCAATAATTATAAGAATTCACTTAATTTATGTATTAAATAATAGCAACAGACATACTACTAGCATCTCTTGATCGAAAGAGATCTTGGCCAACGTCCCTAGCACAAATTCACTCAGGCTGGAAGGGCTCTCAGGAGGTCTCTCCTGACTCCAGCCTCCTGCTCACAGCAGGGCAACACCCAGTTCCAACCAGGTTACTCCGGACTTTCATCCAGCTGGTTCTTGGAAGCCTCCAGTGCTGGATACTACACAAGCTCTCTAGGCAACCTTTTCCAATGCTCAGTTATCCTAATAGTGAATTATTACTTCCTTACAGCAAGTCAGAACCTCCCCTTGTGATTTATGACCCTTGCCTCTGTGCACCTCAATAAATACCCTGGCTCCATATTCTCAGTAACCTCCTCCCCCCTTCCCAGATTTAGGGCTTTGCTTTTTGTCTTTGTTGAACTTCATGAGATTCCCATAGATGCGTTCCTCCAGCCTGTTTATGTTCCCCTGAATGGGCCTGCCCTTGGGTATATTCACTGCGTGCCACCCTGATTCATGTCAGCTGCAAATGGGGTGAAGGCACCTTCCATCTCTTCCTCCAGGTCACAGATAAAGACATTAAACACAACGGGTGCCAGAATAGACACCTGAGGAACTCCACCTGTAATCAGCCCTGAGGGAGACGTATGAACCATTAAACGCTACCCTCTGAGCTCAACGCTCCAGCCAGGATTCTCACCTACCTAGACTGTAACATCCTAGCTTGGATGTCCTGGGAGTCTGTATCATTGAGTACTGGAGCTATTCCAATGGAAGAACACCAAACGGGCTGGCACCCAGAGTACACAGTGTATGAGCAGCACCTGAGGGAGCGGGGTTTGGTCAGCCTGGAGAAGAGAAGGCTAGGGGGTACTTTAACTGCTATCCTCAGCTACCTAAAGGGTGGTTCTAGAGAGGACAGAGCCAGGCTCTTCTCAGAGGTGTGCAGAAAAAGGAGGAGAGGCAACAGATCCGTTACAGTAAAGGAAATTCCAATAGGCCAGAGGAAAGGAAATTTTCCCCATTGGGGAAGTCACACACAGAAACTGACTGCCCAGAGAGGGTGGGAAGCCTCCAGACTTGGATCCCGTTGCTGTGTTCTACCTTAAAAACGGACCGCCTTAGCCTATTCCATTTAACACTGCATACTCCCTTTATTCCGATAAGAGAAGCCTATGAAATAGAACACGCTCTTTCCTAGCCTCCTGAATGAAAAATCTTGCTTTGAAACACCAGCTTTCTAAAAGCTCGCTGCAGACTTTCCAGCAAGACAGCTGCCATTAAACTTAGCTAAACCTTTATTTTTCCCATGTTAGTATCAGATACTTTGGGAGTCTCTATGCTACTTCTCTCTAGTAGTCAAGAGCAGATCCTTCAAGTTAGGTAGGCACCATACCAGTGACAGCTGGAACTTGTGCCTCAAGATCTACACGGATCTTGATAGAAGTGTCAAACAAACAACGGTCCTTCAGATGAAGCACTTTCCCCTTCACTCCTCTCTTGGATACACGTCCCTACGCATCTTGGCTACCCTTCTTCTCGTTCTTGGTTGCCCTTCTTCTCCTTTATGAACGCTGCTCTGTGAGAATCGCGCTCCTGCAGCGCAGCCCTTCTGACATTCACACGGGCACACGTGAGCTGGAGTCTGACCTCACCTGCTCCGTGAGCACCTCACTGCCACGGGCAGCTGGGGTAAAACCGCCCGACCGAAACCACCACGCGCGAAACCCAGAACAAAACCACCCAGCAGGAAGCGGGTGGAAGCCAGCGCATACCGCTCTGCAGCTCGGAGCCCTCCGCGGCCTCCTCCCAGGGCTGCCCGTCGATGGTGACGTTCTCCCGCACCGCCGTTTCGAAGTCCTGCAAGAGACGCAGAGCTCCAGCAGCCAGCCTCCAGGCACCGGGGCACAGGCGCGCAACGCCTGC